AAAATACTAAAGGCAGTTCTGTGGTCAGAGAACCAACCACAGCAGACTACAACCTGAGATAAACATACATGACAAAATCACCTAGACTCAATCCATATATAAAAGTATGCAAAGTCAAACAGACCTGTAAGACTGAAAAGAGAGAACCAGAGATACAGTTGCAATAATAATAACAAAAATAAAGTTAAAAGAGGGAATAAAGTAATTACAGAACTTTCAAATGAAGAGGAAATCAAATAGATTTCAAGAGAAAAATAAATAAAAATAAACCTAACTCTAAGCCTAAAAACTAGACCAAGGTTTACCCCTCACATTAATCCTAGTCCTAATCATAACCCTAACAATAAACAAAGTCCCTAGGTGGGAGTTACAAAGACAGGCTAGAAGAGCCATATCAAATAATTTACAGAACCACATATTGTACTCTACATAGCATCCATCTGTGGTCTGTATACTTCTGAAGGTGGTCTTTTCATCTCTTTAACCCTTCCCAGAGAATTCTGCACTCTTCAATTTATATCACGTCCAAATGGCAATTTTGACATCCTCAAGGGACTCAAGGGGCAAGATCAGGACTATAGCATGGATAGGGTAAATTCTTCCAATGAAATTTTCATAGGGACAATTCCTGCTACCCTTGGAGAACAAGTAGGTGCATTGTCATGATGAGGGAAAAATCCTTGGCACGACGTTCCTGGCCTTTTACTCACTAATGCAATTTTCTTAAAACTTCTTCCTAATAAGCCCCTGTGATAGCCCTGTGTCTTTTAAGAAAATCTATCAAGATTACCCCTTTGGAAGAGTCTACAGAAACAGTTATCATAACCTTCTGAGCTGATTTCTCTGCCTTCAATTTAAGTGGACCAGCAGATCCTCTAGGAAGTCACTGTTTTGCTGGGATTTTTTGGGGGAAAGACCCTAACAAGACTGTTGTTTTTATTGTAAGGTGCTGTTGAATCAGTTTCAACTCATAGCAACCCTACGCACAACAAAGTGAAACACTGTCCAGTCCAGAAGCACCCTCACAATTGTTTTATGATTGAGCCCATTATTATTACCGCTATGTCAATCCATCTTGTTGGGGATCTTCATTTTTATGGCTGACCCTTCACTTTACCAAGCATGGTGTCCTTCTCCAGAGCTTGGTCCTTCCTGACAACATATTCTAAGCACAAGAGGCGAAGTCTCGCCATCCTGGCTTCCAAGGAGCGCTCTGGCTGTACTTCTTCCCATACAGATTTGTTTGTTCTTCAGGCAGTCCATGGTACTTTCAGTGTTCTTCACCAACAACATAATTCAAATACACTGATTCTTCTACGGTCTTTAGTATTCATTGTCCAACTTTCACATGCATATGAGGCAACTGAAAATACCATGGCTTGAGTCAGGTGCACCTTAATCTTCAGATTGACATCTTTGCTCTTGAACACTTTAAAGAGGCCTTGTGAAGCAGATATGCCTAATGCAATATATCATTTGATTTCCTGACTGCTGCTTCCATTAAGTGTTGATTGTGGTTCCAAGAAAAATGAAGTCTTAGACAACTTCTATCTTTTCTGCATTTATAATGATGCTATATATTGGCTTAGGAGTCCTGGTGTGGCAGTGTTGGTTAATGCACTGGACTGCAAAGTCCACTTGAACTGGGAAGCCTACAGTTCAAGTTCACCAGCTGCTCCTTGGAACCCTATACAGTCACTATGGGTTGGAACCCAACTCAATGGCACTTAACAACAACAACAAAACAGATATTGGCCCAGTTTTGAGGAATTTTGCTTTCTTTATATTGAGGTACAATTCATCCTAAAGGCTATAGTCTTTGATTTTCATTAGTATATCAAGTCCTCTTCACTTCCAGCAATCAAGGTTGTGCCATCTGCATATCACAGGTTGCTAATGAGTCTTCCTCCAATCCTGCTTCTTTGCATAACCTAGTTTTTCTTGATTATTTGCTCAGCATACTCACTGAATGAATACGGTAAAAGGGTATATATACCTTGATGCACACCTTTCCTGATTTTACACCATCAGTTCCCCTTGTTCTGTTCCAATGACTACCTCTTAGTGTATGTGCAAGCTCTACATTAACACAATTAAGTATTCTGAAATTCCCATTCTTCACAGAGTTATCCATAGTTTGTTATGATTCACACAGTCAAATGCCTTTGCATATTCAATAAAGCACAAGTGAACATTTTCCTGGTATTCTCTGCCTTCAATTAAGGTCCATCTGACATCAGAATGATAGTCCTCATTCCACATTCTCTTCTGAATCCAGTTTGAATTTCTGGATGCTCCCTGCTGCAAATGCATGTGACAGTAATGATATTATTGTTGAATGATATCTGCATTCTGTTGGGTCACCTTTCTTTGGATGGGCATAAAAATCTATCTCTTCCAATTGGTTTCTCAGGTTTCTTGGCATAGACAAGTGAATGCCTCTAGTGCTGTATCAGTTCATTGAAACATTTCAATCAGTATACCATCAATTTCTGGATCTGTGGTTTTCACCAATGCCTTTAATGCAGCTTCAGTGCAGTATCATCGGTTCTTGGTCATATGCTACCTCTTGAAATGGTTTAAAATCGACCAATTCTTTTTGGTATAAAGACTCTGTATTTTCCTTCCGCTTACTTTCGATGCTTTCTGTGTCACTCAATAAGTAGTCCATTGGATCCTTAAATACTGCAAGTCAAATCTTGAATGTTTCTTCAGCTCTTTCAGATTGAGAAATGCTGCACATGTTGTTTTCTCTTGGAGTTCTAACTCCAGGACTTTGCACATTTCATACTTTACTTTTTGTTCTTGAGCTGCGCTTTGAAATTTTATTTTCAGCTGTTTTACGTCACTTCTTCTAGTCACTTTCCAGCCCACAGAATGAGAAAACTGAGTGACTTCTGGTAGAAGGCTTATTGGAGGAGTGAGTTGCCTCCAGGCACTTAATCAGGGGTGTTAGGTTTACTGACCCAGAGAGCTAGAGCTGAGTGCCTTTGGATCAAGGATACTTATGCGTGGAGTACCTGTGGGGCATTTATCAGCAGTGCTAAAAGAGTTTTGTAACATTGTACAGGCAAGGAAAAAGCCAAGGAGCTGCATGAGGATCAGAGACAGGCAAGCCTGTAGGCCCAGCTGAGAAATGATCATGTCTTAAGAACTGTATCCAAAATGTTTCTGATCCTGAGTTGGAATCTGTTAACTTCCCTAATAAGCCCTGAAATTGTGAGTATTATCTCTGAGCTCTGTGTGGCCACTGCAACAAATTACAGAAGCCAGCAGAGAAGCAGAAAGTGCCATGGGAGGAATGGCTGGTGTCACACTGGTAAAGGAGGCTTGTCTGACCTCTGTCTCATAGGAATCGGCCTTGGGCTGATAATTGAGTTTGAATCTCTTTCCCTTTGGTGAAATCAGAAGAAGTCAGGCACAACAGCTTCACACTTGGACATTTTTGTTTAATAAAGGATTCTAATGATTTTGCATCAATCCTTTTTTTTTTTTAACTTGCTCTCAAATATCTGTGATATATAAAAATCCACTGAATTGTATAGCTTATGTGGGAAAATTATATGGTATGTGAGTTATGCCTTAATAAAATTAGTTAGAAAAAAAACAAAAGCATAACACTAATTACTTTTTTGTTGCCAACTGAAGATGGAAGAAGTCAAGAGTCTGGAGGTTGTTAAGGCTATAAATGCAGAGATATTAAAAGATTAGGTCTGACAGGGAATTGGCCTAGACAGGTGGTAAACCAGGATTACCAAGTGGCAATCCCAAAAACCTGAGCAAATTCTGATCTAGCAATTAAAGAACAGACATTCCATTAGCTCTGCTAAGGTGCTGCCATTCTGCAGTGGACCCATAACATACAATGACTTAAAAAATAATTTTTAACAGCAACTGGATTCTTGTTAGCAACAGAGAAAAATTATAACACATCTGTAAATATGTCATCAGCAACTAAAAATTTTGATAAACAGTTAAGCAAATAATAATAAAATTTCAGTAATATGGTCTGTATTAGTTTTAATGTTATGAATGAAACATCTTAGCTGGAAGCATCCTGTAATTTGTCCTTAGGTTTTGCAAGCAGTTGTTTAAAAGTAAAAGGTTACACCTTTCTCTGAAACTCACCTGAAGTGCAGAAAGAGCCACAGCGCCACAGAGACATATGAGTGGGTATACAGGAAATAGAAACCGTTCCTCTTTGTGAGGCTGGATGAAGAAAATTATAAACCAAATATACATTGGAGCCAAGGTAAGCCAATATGGGTGGCCTAAATTCTGAACTGCAAGACAGAAAAATATCCACCTTTCACCATATTAGAACAAAACAACATATTTACTCTAAATGTTCTTTTCATTTTAGAGTTAGGAATATTCCGTAAATGTTACAACTCTTGTATTCACACTTTTTCTCCAATGCAATACAGACCTTACGTAGAAAGAGGAATATACTCTGTAGCTACCCGCAAAGATCCAAAATCTGAGGGAGATACAACATAGAATATGAACTGAACACAAATGAAAGGTTAATAGGTAAGTTGTTAAGTGCCGTTGAGTCGATTTCAACTTACAGTGACCCTGTACAGGGCTTCCAAGACTGTAAATTTTTACGGGAGCAGAAAGCCTCACCTTTCTCCCGTGGAACAGCTGGTAGTTGCGAACTGCTGACCTTGAGGTTAGCAGTTCGACTCGTAACCACTACACTATCAGAAGTCTTCTCCCTGTAATGAGTTCTGCAACTATGAATAAAGGTTCTGAAATTTATCAAAAGCATAATACACATTTATTTCTTGGGTTCTAATTCCTATGTCCTGTTTAATAAATGAATCTTCTTACCTATACACTGATAGGTCTGTTCAATAGCCATAGATCAAAGAAAAAGAGATGGTTTATCAAACCCATCAAAGTCTCTCATCAACCACAAATGACAAAGAACTTATTTCAAATTAAAACTAAAAACACTCTTCAAAGAAGACTTACTCATTAAGTCTCCTCTCTTCTCCCACAATACCCATACACACACTATGAATCCCAAAATTGGAACCAAAAATGTACTTAAAGCATGTGAAAGAATTAAAAGAATTTAATGAACATGAAGACTCAAGCACCTGCAGGAAAATTCCTGTGGTTAGGTACATGAACACTGAGTAATAAGCCTGCAACCCACAGTGAAGGCATCTCCTACTGTGCTTATATTAATGAGAATGAGCAGTGTCTCAGAGGGTAGATACACAGCGCCCCCTGGTGCCCATCATATCTACAGCAAGCAAGTTTAAATGACAAATCAAGATCTGTCTGAGCAATGCCTAACTTAGTATTCTTAGGTCATCTGTATCTTTGCATAAATTGTTTATGAATAAATATTCTTGAATAATAACAAGATTATTTCTTAAACTTTCGAGGGTTTTATTATGAGTTTTTAGGCTATAAATTTTGTACGTTTTCCAAGAAAAATATTTTAAGTTGGAATTTTCAAAATTATATAAAAAAAAATGATTTATCTTCTATCATTGAACAGTCTTTTTCTTTTCTGTATCCTAAAGGCTAATATATAACTTTTTAAAATACAGCCTCATCCAGGCTTGCTGGTCACAAAGACACTGGTGGAACCCTGAGACTAAGGCCCTGGGTCACCCTTCAGGTCTGGAACAGAACTCACCCTCGTGGCTCAGTTTTCAGCCAAGCAGTAGATAGTATGTAGAAGGGGGCACCAACACTAATGAGGTATGCACACCCACCAAAGAAACCAACCATTAGAGATCAAAATGGCAGCATCTACCTAAGGAACAAATTCAGAAGGGTTGGGAAATAAGGAGAAATGGAAACATAGGGAGGAAATGAGAGAAGTGATGTTACACCGAGGGGACCTCAATCACTGAGATGAAACAAAGTGTGTCTCAGCTATTGGATATAAAACTGATGATCTGTTCTGTAAACCTTCACTCAATTCACAATCAAAAGTTTTTTAAAAAGACAAAAAATTTTTAAAGTTAAAGAAAGTCATGATAAAAAAAAATTAATAAACTAATGGCAAATATATATATATACATAAATTCTTAAAAATGACTTAAAATTCTGAAATGTCCTCCATAAAATTGTAACTACAGAAGTTAAGATAATGGGTATTTATTTTCTGCTTCCTTATATTTTTGTTTAAAAAATGATAAAAAGCACATAAAAGTATAATGAAAAAGACACACACACACTACTCATTTTATTAGGAGGCAGACATGTACGGACATTTACATTTCAAAACCCAAACTGGATTCATTCTGTTGAGAAAAGCTGAACACCCTGACATTTTCACTTTTATCGTTAGCATTTCCTAATCTTCCACAGGATACATTATTTTTATATTCAGGAAAAAAAGTTACTTTTCAAAAATATAAATAAGCGGTGTGTAAGAAATACAGGAAATGGAGAAAAAAGTTAATACCCCAATGAAACAAGCAGCTGAATCACGAATGTAGGCTACTATACAAGATGAATGATCTGTTTTTAAAGAAATTGAAGGGTGCTGGTGGTCACTGTGTGCCGCCGAGTTGGTTCTGACTCATAGCAACCCTGCATAGGGTTCCCGAGACTGCAAATCTTTATGGGAGACAAAAGCTTCATCTTTCTTCAACAGAGCAGCAAACAGATTCAAACTATTGACTTTACAGTTAGCAGCCTAAAGAGGCAGAACTCTTAAAAAGCTTATAAAACACAGCACCTAGTTCAATGTGATCCTATTACAAACAAACTGTAAAAAGCTATTTTTAAAACAATCTAAGAAATGTGAATGTCAACTGGGTATTAATTGAGATTAAGGAATTAGTGTTCATCTCTATAGGATAGAGGCATTATGGTTATGTTTAAGAAAAAAGTCCCCTGGTCCAAAATCAAGAATTTAATCCAACAGTAAAAACAAATAAAAAAGGAAGAGCAAAAGAAGGGGAAAACTATCAGAAGAAAGGAAATAATTAAGATCAAAGCTGAAATCAATGAAATAGTAAAACAATAGAAAGAATCAGCAAAACTAGATGCTGGTTTTTTGAAAGGATACACAGACAAACTGACAAAAAAAAATTAGAAGACACAAATAATGAAAATAAGGAATTAAAATGGAGACATTACAGCAAATCCAACTGAGACAAAGAAGATCATAACAGAAGACTATGGAAAAGTGTACTCCAACACATTTGAAAACCTAAAAGAAATGCACACATTTCTAGAATCACACTACCTAACTAACTAAACACAAACAGATGTAAAAAATCTAAAAAGATCCATAACAAAAGAAGAGACTGAAGATGCCATCAAAAAACTTCCAACTAAAAAAAAAAGTAAAATGCACCAGCCCAGATGACTTCTCTGGAGAATTTTACCAAGCATTCAGAGACACCAAGTCTATTGAGAGTCTTCAAAAACAGGAAAGGAAGGACCACTCCCCAACTCATTCTATAAAATTTGCATTGCCCAGATGCCAGAGACAGGTAACTACACTACACACATAGCCACAAAAAGAAGATAAAATTGAAGATCAATATCCAAAAAATGTGTGAGTGGTTACATAGGTAGGCAAAGAGATATCCAGTCACCTCTCGATATCCACAGGTCCCTTGCAGATACCAAAGTCTACAGATCCTTAAGACCCTCATATAAAATGTTGTTGTTGCCGCTAAGTGCCATCAAATCAACTCCAACTCACAGCAAACCTCTGTAGGGTTTACAAGGAGCAGCTGGTGGGTTGACCCAAACATCCTCCTGCATACGTTAAATCATCTCTAAATTACTTCTAATAACTTGTTGTGGTTATTAGAAATGTCATCGAGTCATTTCCGACTCAGAATGACCCTGTATAGGGTTTCTGAGGAGTGGTTCACACCAATCTTACTGTTCAGCGCATTAAACCACAGTGCCACACCAGGACTCCCTTCTAATACCTAATGCAATGTAATTTCTATGTAAATAGCACCTTATGCTCCCTCTTAGCTTTTCTTTGAAGGAATGCTTTGATCACATAACTGCTTTTTTTTTTTTTTTTCTGTAAAAAAAAGTTTTATCTTTTCATTCTCTTCACAGCTTGGGAGAAGAGGGTCTCCAGGGTGGTGGTGATGCTGCCTCTGTGGCTGGAGGGAGAGGTTCGGGCAGAAGGTCTGAGGAGGACAGTAGAATGCTGAAGGCCCCTCACAGGTAGGTTTCTGGGCTCCAAAGACTCCTAGTTGTGCTTGAGGGAGAGCCTCTCAAAGAGATATTTGTCCAATCCCGCCTGGGGGCCCACCAACCTGTGGAGGTTTGTAGGTGGTCATGGATCATCTTGATAATTTTTACCTCCTAGTCAAGGAAATGCTTCTCCAGAAAGTTACAGAGGTGGGAGTCTATGTGGGTAGCTCCAGAAAGGACTGGTTCAGGCTTTTCTCCAGGACAAGGGTGGTGTCCATGGCGTCCAGGGTTCATCCCCACGCATCTTGGGATGCCTCCTTTCTGCGGGTCCTGGAAGAGAGTACGGCTGCCACTCTCATTTTGCAGTTTCAAGAGACACTCGGCAACCTTGTGCTTCTCCTTTGCCAACTTGGGGAAGAAATGTCCCATGCTTTCCAAGGCCACATTATCACAATCAATCGAAACAGAAGTCCAGAGAGAGGTAGGTTTAAGATGCCCACAGATGCAGATTGACCAGATGGTTGATGCCAGCCTCCGCTTCAGTGGAATAATTCTGACAGATCTGAGAGCTTCATAGTTGGTTGATGATTTGGAGCTAACCACACACACACACACACACACACACACACACACACACACACAAACGTGCCTAACTGGTCCTGGTAACATGAAATAGCCAAGAAGATGGTCCCGGAGGAGAAGAGATTGTGCCTAAAGAGCTGGTTAGAGGTGGTCCCAGGCTGGAGGTGGGGAGTCCCGCATCTGTTCCGGGCAAACTTTCACTTAACTGCCTTTCAGGAGCCTTTTTATTTCTTTAGATGTGGATCGGTACCCATGAATATGGAGGGCTGACTGTATCTGTATATATGTGTATGGTGGTGGTGGTTGTGTGCCATGGAGTCGGTTCCGACTCATAGCGACCCTGTACAGGGTTTCCGAGGCTGTAAATCTTTACAGGAGCAGAACTCCTCATCTTTTTCCCATGGAACAGCTGGTAGTATATGTTTAGTAAAGTATAAATGTATGTATACACATGTGCACACTTAGGTGTGTCTGTCTGTAGGCATATTACTTGCTTGCATAAGTTGCATCAATTCATATACATAATAAAGCAGATAGGAGGAACAGTCACAGACATAACCAAACACCTTGTAGGATTGATTTACAGGGTTTGAAGGCTTAGAGCTATAATCTAAGTCAATTTAGCACATGGTTTACAAAGTTTATGCTCTACAGTCTAGCTTGGTAGTGAGTAGTGTCTGGGGTCTTAAAAGTGTGCAAACCATCTATGATACAACTACTGGTCTCTACTACTCTGCAACAAAAGAGCCCTGGGAGCGTAGTGGGTGATGAGCTGGGCTGCTAACCACAAGGTCAGCATCTTGAATCTACCAGCTGCTTTGGGGGAGAAAAATGATGCTTTCTGTTCCCATTAAGATTTACAGCCTTGGAAATGCTATACGAGGTCACTGTGAGTTGGAACTGATTCCATGGCACACAACCATCACCATTCTGCAATAAAAAAGCAAGAAACCAAAAACTCAAAAGAAGAAACTAGCCTACATGAACCACAGCCTCATCAACCCTGAGAACAGAACTAGATGGGACCTGGCTACCACTACCAACTATTGTAACCAGGGATACAACAGATGGTCCTAGAGAGACCAGGAGAAAATTATAGAACAAAATTCAATTTCTTAAGGAAAAAAAAAAAAAGCCAGCCTTACTGGGCCAGAATAGAGGAACCCCTGAACTATTGCCCTGAAATACCCTTTAAACTCTGAACTGAAACTATTTCCAAAGATCACTTTTCAGTTAAATGAAAGACTGGCTTATAAAATAAACAATAACACCCATGTGTATAGTGCTCCTTTTTAAAAAAGGAGAAAAAAAAAAATCATCTATTTAAGAATATGAGACCAAACAGTGGACATTTACTCTAAAGTAAAGATGAGAAGGTCAGAGGGAGCAGGGAAGCTAGGTCAATGGAAGCAGAAATAATGAAAATGTTAGCATAATGTGACAAATGTAACCAATGTCTCAGAATAAGACTTGGAAGAATGGTTTCAATGGGAATCGAAACTGCTGTATAAACTGTCACCAAAAACTCAGGGTTTTTTAAAAGAAAGAAAAAAAAAGTACCAAAAGCAAACAAAAGACAAAAGTAACTATGAAAACTGTTATCATATTGCAGCCCAGTGAATTCTATAAACCATAAATAGCAGAAAAGCAAAATGGGAGTGGCATGGGGGGAAATTAACCCTATTTCATCCAAATCAGTCTGAAAATCTGAAATTAAATCTCTTTCCAGAGCATATATGAATTTCTGCTCAAACCTATCTTCCTAAAAGAAATCGCAGCACTAGATATCCAGAGAATTATGACAACTTAAAGAGAAAGCACCCACTGGGTGGGCAAGATAGAATCAGAGCTAACAAAATCATGACAAACCAAACTTCGCACAATAAGGCAAACACAGAAGCAAAATGCAACAGTAAGAAGAGACACACTTCTTAGGAAGTCCAAAGCATCTCCTACTTCAGGATCAAATTTTGGGGAAAACCCTGCATAGTTTTGTTTCTCATTTTCTGGTTGAAATAATTTCCCAAAGAACATTTGCCTCTAGTCTGGCTTATCTGTGTTTTCTAAGCAACCTAAGTTAACACACACACCATTACAAGACAAGATACCAAATTGGTTTGTTATCCCCTGAGATTTTATAAATGTTTTTGCTTCCCTTGGTGGTTCTATAAATTATACTGACTTCCTCACTTGAAGGGACATAAAGAGCCTTCCTCTGTTGGTTTAATTCATAGTAATTAACCAAATCTCCACATAGGTTCAAATAACCTACAAATATAGATTGAAAATTCAATTAACCAATCATTCTCAATTAGAAAATGGGGAATAAAGTAAGTAGTATTCTTTTTCACTTCTTAGTATCAATTGTTACTCTCTCTTTCCCTCAAAAAAAACTAATTATCTTTTGTGTCACTTACCGTGAAATCTCTGCAGCAAGTATTCCATCAGAGAAGTCAGTGGTAAGACCAGGAGAGCCAAAGCAAAGGCGATATTGAAGTTCAGAAATCCATTAATTAAATAGAAGTACCAGGGTTCTGTACCTTGGGGAAGCAGACAAGACACCATCAGTGAATGCGTCCCACACCTATTGGAGTGCTTCATTCATAATATGCTTTCAGTTATGGGGATGACCCTGTAACTCAAGTGAATGAGGGCTCAGAAGCCTGCTCTTAGCCACACAGGGGAAGCACAAGAGCAGAAGATGGAATGAGAATGGGATTGGTCATGATTTCGTAGCTATCAGAAGCTTTAAATATTTAGCTGTATTTTCCATACTTAACAACTATACCTGGTGTGGTGCTGCAGGTTAATATGCTGGACTCCAAGGTAGGTTTGAATCTCAAGGTCGGCGATTCAAGCTCACCTGCAGCTCCTTGGAAACTCTATACAGGGTCGCTATGAGTTGGAACCGAGTCAAGGGCACTTAACAACAACCACTATATTGTGCCCAAATGAGACTAATATTTGACCAAATAATTTAAATTGCTTAGGAACACTGAATTGCTAACCACAAGGTCAGAGATTCAAACCCACCTGGGTCTCTGTGAGTTGGAACCAACTCTAGGCACCTAATAACAATAAGAACAGGAACATAGAGCTGTTTAAATAATTTTAAAAAGTGCTATTTTGAATTGAATTACTCTTTCCATTCTGTAGAACAAAGTATAGAATGATAAAAGGGATTTGGTCAGAGCTGTTCAGGCCTCCTCATTTTGTTTGCCCCTGCTTGTTCCACTTATATTCAAACATCTTTCCCCTTGATATGCTCAACCACTATTTTATAGTCATGGACATAGGGGACCATGCATTTGATAAAAAGCAACAACTTGTTTTTCCTTAGAGTCAAGCTCGTTCAAAGACTGAGGCCCTGGACAGAATTCCAGGGTTCTGTCTCCAAGGATTCAGAATGAGCAAAATGACGGGCAACACAAGCCTCACTCATACTAGTTTTGCTTCTTTCACTCAAAACCCTTAAACTCAAATGATGAGAAGCAAGCACCCCCTCTGCAGAGCCAGCAGGTTTTTCATCTATGTGATTACTTCCATCATGCACGCTGTAATCACTGTGTGTTGTGACACCGCCTTGCACCATGGCAATTTCCTGCAATCAGCATTGCTTAAAAGGGTAATCAGAGGCAGAGGAACAGTCAGGAAATCCTGACTTTTTTTTTTGCAGCTTGCACAGCAAAATAAGATTAGAAACCAAATCCATGATGTCAGAAACATTTCAGAGAGAAGAAGAGAAGAGAAAGCCGGTTCTAAGGAAAGACTCAAGTTCAATCAAATGTGTCACCTTTTGGGAAAGCTCCCTCATTCCTGTTTAAATACAGTGACTGGGCTTTTTCAAGAGCAGAGGTCCTGTCACAGGCCAAGTTTACTATGTTGTTGTTGTTGAGTACAGTCAAGTCGGTTCTGACTCACAGCGACCTTGTAAAGGGTTTCTTAAGGAGCAGCAGATGAGTTTGAACCGCAGACCTTGTGATTCAAACCGACTTTGTGGTCAGTGCTTATCCTACAGTGCCATATATAGACATTAATATCATATACTCCTTAGGAACTGCCTTTTGGATTATAGAAAACTAAAGGATATATTTATTTTCAAAACCGAAATAGGTATCTTCTCTGAATTTAAAAATTATTTTATAACGTATTTCCTAAATTGAGTCCTTTAGGAGTACTTTCTCCAGAGACAGAAGCTTCCGCACAATCCTTTCCTGGCCCCCAGTGTGGAAGCAATGCTATAAACACTTGACCTTTTTAATTAACAGAATTCTGGGAACCTGAACCTGTGAAGAGAATAGAAGTTATCTTTTCGATCATCTATTAGAGATGCTAACTAAGTTAGCATCAATAGCAAGAAACCTCTTGTCTCTTGGATATCTGCATGTAATACATATGTTTTTTTCCAGGAAAACTCTTTCCTTTTCAGCAAATATTTGTCTCTACTGCACTTAATATACCCTCTTATTAGAGCTATCTTTTAACCTAAGAATTGGTGTGGTACTGCAGGATAATGCATTAGACCACAAGGTCAGTTTGAATGGTAAGGTGGCAGTTCAAATCCACCAACTGCTTCTCAGAAACCCTATACAGGGTCACTATAAGTTGGAACTGACTCGATGGCACTTAACAACAACAACATACTATAAAATCAATCAAAAGCACTAAATGGTAAATTCAATTATTTTTATTTGTTAGGCCGTTCCAGATCAGGTTCACGGCTAGGCAAGCTGTCAATATTTCACAATAGATTGCTACTTCTCTGAAGGATGGGGTAAAAAATGGGAGATTAAGTCAGGAGTCAGGTCAGTTGATATGACAACAGTCAAAAACAAGGGCAAAGGGAACAAAAAGAATGAACTGTTTGCCAGTGTCCTTCCTTACTTTATGACACACCTGCCTCAGAAGACAAAAGGGTTAAAACTTTTTATCCTTTCCAGGGAGATATTCAACCCTGCTGATCAGAAAGTATAAAACTGAAATATGTGGCAAAAAAAATGCATCAGAATGACAAGCTAAGCATTTAACTGATACAAGATGTAAGGTGCAAAAAAGCTGGAAGCAGAGTCCCTGCAGGGAGTGACTCACCAATCTACCTCTTCATGAAAAGTGCCTCAATTTCTTTCATTCAAATGAGCTAGAGGGAGTTCTGAAAGTGGCTAAAAGAAGAAAGGATAATGTTTACTGTTCCATAGATTGAATGAAGGGGAACCATTTTACAGGTCTATAATTTTATAGACTACAGGAACTAAATTACAGTAAGTCATTCTTATAAATGTCAAATCTGTACCACCAAGAGGGAAAAAAAGTCACTGAAGTTCAAGAGAAACGATTAACAAAAAAAACCTAAGATGCCAGAATAGTTCTGGCTGACAGTCGACTCTAAGCAGAACTCAAAAGACTCTACTGGTACCTTCCCACTGCTAATACAAGAATGAAAAACTGTGGGCCTTCTAATAAAGGACATTCACCTTTACTTTTGGAAACGTCTCACCCAAGAATGTTACAGATGTTGATAAAATACATAAACAGTTAATGGAGTCATGTCTTAAGCCACAAAGTATATCCTGAGGGAAGAACATAGCATTTAACTCTCCTCCTAAGGCTTCCTTCAGGCCTGTGTACTCATTAGAGAGCATACCCTTCAGTCACCACACAGAAATACTTCGCAGCAAGGTCTCTTAAACTCTAAATGTTACAAGGGCAAAAGGCAAAAATCATGCCCAGACGAGCCACTTCCTTTTCTGCAATGTTAAATTTCACTCTTGATCTCTACCACCCATAGAGAGATGTTTGGCCTACAACTTTGTAATTTTATGTCTATACCACTCTAAATTTCTTAAAAGCCGGGTAATTCTTTACCCTACCTGGCACAGCGCTCCCAGGTGAAAGGAAAGTCGGCCAGAGGGCATGCCATGCTGCCATCCAATCTCTTTCCAGTGGCTCCTCATCACCCTCCAACCAAGCCAAATTGCACTGGACTGTCAAAGGGGTAACTCTGGCACATCCTATAGATCAGATCTTATCTGCTACTACCCTGAGTCAGACTCTATATTTTTGAAAGCTTATTTCCTTGTAGAATCAGAAGAGCCAAACTACAGGGTTTTGCTAACATTGTATTCAGTGGAAGGAGCACAGACTTTGGAGTCACACAACCCTGAGCTCTTAATACATTTCTGTCACTTATCAGGGGGCTTCAAAAAAGTTTGAGGAAAAATGGAATGAAAAGATAATGGAATTGTTCTACGAACTTTCTGAATCGCCCTTGTATTTAACTATGTAGCAAATTCCTCACCATCTCAATCTCAGTTTTCTTATCTATATATAAGGATAAATCCTACCTACCTCACAGAGTTACTGTGGAGGAAACTAAATGGTATGTGTAAAATTTCTGGTGTATGTATTTATTGTAGACCTTTGATAACCAGAAGCTACTGTAATGAATAGTTGTGAAAAAGTACTCTTTTTCTTTCCTCTGGCTTCAAAAGAAAAGAATGAACTCAGATCTGGATGATCTGTCATTAATGCTACTTAACCAAGAAAGAGTAGAAAGGTTCCACTGAAAACCAGTTATGTTTATGATCACAGTGAAATTATCTTGTTCATGACTCTATAGTTTCTACAAAAAATTCAGCTAATGACAGTTATCTTTTTTAAAAAGTCAACTCAATACTCAATCTTTCTTTCTCAGTATTCTTTATATCTGACATTCTACTTGTCTGAAATGTACCTCACCAGAAATCCTGGTATGGCACTGTAGGGTAAGCATTGGACTCTTAACACCAAGGTCACTTGGTTCAAACCCACCAGTTGCTCCTCAGAACCCTATACAGGGTTGCTATTAGTTGGAACCAACTAGACAGCACTTAATAACAGTGTTGAGCAAGGAGTCACTGGGTGACACAAATGGTTAAGCTCTTGGGTACTAACTAAACATTGGAAGTTCAAACCCATGGAAAGGCACTTTGGCAGAGAGCCCTGGTGATATGCTTCCAAAGTCACAGCCACGAAAAGTCTGTGAAGCTCAGTTTTACTCTGACACATAAGGGGCCACCTTGAGTCAGAGTAGACTTCATAGCAACTGCTTTGGGGTTTTGTTTTCTAGAAAGGTCTTCAACCAAGCAAGGTCTTCCTTGAGGATAAGTTTAAGGACCAACCCCCACCTCCACCCCCACACCTCAAGAAGCCTTTCATAATACCACTGGGTAAGACTATGGTTCCCTGTCCTTCCACTGTAGCATATAATACATTGCACTGTAGCATTTACTTGTGTGTCTACAGCCCAACTAGACTATGAAAGTTCTATAAAGATACATGTAAGTGCTCAAAAGCAATTTATTCAATGTTTTGTTTTGTCTCTTTACCTCATGTTCCTTTGCCCATTCATTCAAGCAGCACTTACAGACTTATTATGTTCTTATAGATAGGAAATAGCTCTAAGAAATGCATGCAGAAACTATCAGCACTATGCATTTTCAATTTTCAGAGAAGAAACAGCAAGCCTATCATATCTCATGAGGCTCTTGGAGCAGAGGAGATG